TGAAATCCTTAATTTATTTAGCCACCACCAGATCAACCTGTTTTGCAACACAGGCCACTCATTAGATTGACCCTGGGACCTGACAAACTGATGCGAGATGTGGTTTCAGGTTAATCTCGTTCAGGGCTCGCAAAATCGCTAGCCCGACGTCCCGGGGCTAGCGATCTTTCCAGTCGGGCTACCAAAATCTATCTCTGCCCTGCTGTTGGGCTATTGTAGGAAGGAAAATATATGTCAATGCTTTTGCATTCTTTCAGAAATGTAGCTGGGTAATTATGTCATTGGCATCGGTGAGCCACTGTCAATATGTGACATATTGAAGTCGCGTTTGAATTTGCGCTTGTTTTTTTGCTTTCACTTTGCAATCGCGCGAACTGTGTATAGAGCGACAGCACTGATCTGTGAGTGATGATAATTTGCGCACCAATTCCTCTGACATCGTCTTATTAATCGTTAGCTTACTATGCAAACATGACAAGTGAAATCTCCGCAGCTTAAACATGTGAGAGGTTGATCTGCAGAGAATCGCTGAGCGTTATGTGAGTGCATGTGTAAAAGCAGCAGGATATATATTTTAGTTCTGCTGAGCCAAATAAGACAGGTCAGGGTGAAGAAGTGACAGCCAAAGAAAGCTTACCACAAAATGGAAAGTTATGACAATCAGACTATAAGGCAAAAAGAAAGTGCAGCTTTATGGTTTCATGGACAAAGAATTTCTGTGGCTGCAATATGATGAGCTAAATACCAGGGCTGCACATAAGTGGTCCGCAGGTGCGCATTCGCTGTCAAAAAAAAAAAAAAAAACGTGCACAAGATAGAAGTTGCAACGCGTGTTTGCATACATAAGATTTTCAGGAGGAGGACAGACATTTGTTTAAAACTCTTAAAGATGTCGAAGAAGCTCCTTTAAGCAATTACTGTGATGTTCCTCCACCTCCAAAGAAATGTCAGAAGGAGTCCGAACCACAAAAGAAGCGCGTATTCTCGGAAAGTGGTTGCAGGAGGTGAGCTGGCTTCAAACAAATGATGAACGCACAGAGATGTGGTGCGGAATGTGCCGTGAAAATCCCACGCTAGCGGACAAAAACAGCCTTTTATATGGACGCAAACGCGCGTTGCAACTTCTTATCTGGTGCATCTTTTATTTTGACAGTGAACTACCACTGGCAAAATTTAGCAGTCTTTGCAAACTTCAAAAAGCAAACGGCCTCAATCTTGGTTCCACTTGTCTCTTACCCGTGACTTCAGTGGAAATTTCAAATTCAGGATCTGACACAGACTGATTCATGTCCTACACAGTTCTTACAAGTTCATAGAAATTTCTGTTCAATCAGAACCAAGTATTTGAGTTGATGATTGTTTTTATACAATGTTGTAATTTTGTTTTTCAACAATTTTTTGATTAATGTTTTGTTTCCTTTACAATATTATACTTTAATGTATAATATTGTAAAGGAACAAAACATCAATCAAAAAATTGCTCGCTTTTTTATTCGGGCTACTTAAATTTATTTTGGGCTACCAAAACTGAAGAGTCCCTGCCGAAGGGCTACCAGGGATTTTGAAATTTTGAGAGCCCTGTCGTTGAAATGACGTTAACGCAACAACACGGCAAATCTCCGTTAACGAGCTGCCCCTGATCGTGCATGGGGCTGGAGGGCCAACACGTTAACGAGCTAACTGCGCTAACACACTAGTTCCCACCCACGTAATTGAGCATTGCATGGCACATCCAACATACTGTTTTACTTTAGTCCATGACGCGCTTACCTTCAGGGTCATACGTCACATGAAAACCAAAATATTCCAAACGCCAGATCTGAATGAGGGTGGGGGAGGTCCATGTTGCAAGGAGAGCTTAACTTCTGTCTCGCTAGCTTGCCCTGCGCTCTTCCTTCTGACGATGCTGTCTGTGTGAGCGCTCAGTGGATCTGCGCTCGAAAGTGCAGCCTAGGCGGAGTAGTCGAACACAGATTCACTGAGCGCTCAACACAGACAGCATCGTCAGAAGGAAAGTTGATAAAATAAATTACAAATGTTGTATTGTTCGATACATATGCGTACCGAACCGAAAGCACTGTATCAAATGGTTCGATATCGATACGATTAAAATTAATTAATTAAAATTAATTAATTAATTTTAATTAATTAATTAATTAAAATTAATTAATTAAAATTAATTAATTAATTAATTAATTAATTTTAATTTATTAATGACAGATTTACTTTATTACTGACAAATTTTAAATTATTTAATGATGCGATCGTGGCTCAAGAGTTGGGAGTTCGCCTTGTAGTCGGAAGGTTGCTGGTTCGAGCACCGGCTCCGACAGTCTCGGTCGTTGTGTCCTTGGGCAAGACACTTCACCCGTTGCCTACTGGTGGTGGTCAGAGGGCCCGGTGGCGCCAGTGTCCGGCAGCCTCGCCTCTGTCAGTGCGCCCCAGGGTGGCTGTGGCTACAATGTAGCTGCCATCACCAGTGTGTGGATGTGTGTGTGAATGGGTGGATGACTGGATATGTAAAGCGCTTTGGGGTCCTTAGGGACTAGTAAAGCGCTATATAAATACAGGCCATTTACCATTTACCATATTTATCTAAATCATTCCTGGCCCTCCAGAATACTAAGGTGAAGTTCAGCCTTCACTTTATATTGGAAAAATGTGGTACAATTATCTCTGTCAATGCGCGCTGTGTGGCAGGCAGAGTAGGATCGAAATCCAGGACTCAGAACCAGGGAGGTAAATAAAAAAAGCTTTGGAAAAAAAAAGATGTCCCAGTTTTTCTTTTTTCCATTGGCCCCAATCCTCTCTCATAAGAATGTATACGTGCACTGGGACAACCTGGTGCTGTGTTTTGGTGCTTATTTTCATATGTTACTGTTGCGGTAATTCACTGTCTCGGTAGTGCTACAGAATTTGAATTTGAATTTGAAAATTTGAATTTGAATAGGAGTGACTACAAAGGGAATGTTTTTCAGTATAAAAAGAAGAAAAAATCAGCAGTTTTACAAAACGTTTTGTTTTGTTTAAGTGTGTGATATATACAGTACATTAAATTACAAAATGCAAAGTGTGAATTAACATGAGAATGGGAATGAATCAACTTATTGGCAGAAATTTGAACCAAAATCTCATTGCAGTTTTACAGCAGCTGAATAAAGTGTGGGTGTTCACCCATATGGTAGCAAACAAAAATATTAATGATGTATTGTAAAAACAAACAATACAAGATTGATCTCTGTGCAGACTAGAAGCTGTCTAACTGTACCATCTTGTGGTGCAAAATGGTATTAAGCATGAACTGGCATTAGCTGTTTAGGGAATTCTAATTCTATGCCTTAAAAATAACATCTGAGCTGATTCCCTTATATTCTGTTAAATGTTTTAACCGGCAGCGCCATGTGAGGACATTGATTTGTGAGCTCTGCCCTTGAACCCTTGGATTTACCATTTCTTAGAAAATTACGTGATATTACTTCACATATGAGAGCAACAACATATTAGAAAAGAACCATCCCAGTCTATGGACAACATGCCCAAAAAATTCAAGCCAACAAGATGGAGCAGGACACGAGAGCTAGTTGCTGGCCCAGCTAGCCTAGCATGCCCAAATGCCACGGAGACAACTGCGGGCGAGCAGCAGGCAATCCTGAAGGAGCTGCAATGAATGAAGCAAGAATTGCTGGAGAAAATAGATGAAAAGGCTGCAGAGACCCAAACAGAGCTGCATAACGTCGTTGAGACACTCAATAAAAGATTGGATAAGGTTGAAAACCACACATCTGAGTTGGAAAAGGGAGTCACTGCTAATTCCGACTCTATGGAATCGACATTTCCAGCCTGAAAAAAAGAGCTTGCCCTGCTGAAGGCCTGGTGCGAGGATTTGGAGGCTAGGTCACAGCGCTGCAACGGCCGCGTTATGGTGGTAAAGGAGGGATGAGAGCAGGGGAAACACCCATCTGAATATGCGTCGGAAATGCTGAAAATGCTCTTGGTCTAGAAAAAGTGCCGACTCTAGAATAGGCGCATTGGACCCTCTGCACCAAGCCAACTCAAGATGACCAGCCACCCGCGCATTTGTAGTGAAATGTCATTAGTTCACAGAAAAGGAATATTTCTCAGAAGGCAGCCGAGGCTGGGGTGATAACACTGTAGATGGTGATTGTATTCGCGTACTGCCGGACTTCACCCAAGCTGTGAATAAACAGCGTGCCACCTTTACTGAGGTGAGGAATCTACTTCACAGTTGCAACGGAGTCCACTGGGGTATCCAGCGACGCTGAGGATTACTACCGCGGACGGACAAGAAATGACCTTTAAAGACCCAAAATGTGCGCTTAATATATGTCCAGGGCCAGGACTCGCTCTCCCTTTTTTTTTCTTGCACTGACAATACATAGTTTGGAGTAACTATGAATGGCCGAAACAGGTACAAGATAATAACAACAATTAAACTCTACAGAGTCCCATTTATGCTTGGGATATGTGTTGTTATATCACTTGTTGCCAGTTATTTATTCCAAAGTTCGGTCTAATACTCTGCGTTTTGGTTTGGGTGTGGACTGGGTGTAAGCACTTAAGCATTTAAATAGTCTGAAAAATGAGAAGATGGACTGGGATCACTGGAAGGATAGCAGTCTCCTTTTGAGACCGGTTTCATTTTGTTTTGTTACTGTTGTTGTTGATGCTACTATTGTTATAGTTATCAGTGCCTTGCTTCTCTATGTTCATTGTACATTCCCCCCCCCCCCCCTTTTTTTTTTTTTGTTTCACCTATCATCCAAAAGGTGGACGAGGTGAAACGTCTTCAAGCAACTTAAAGAAGTCCAGAAGCTTTTCTTTCCAAGGTCCTTAGATAACACATGTAATCAATATATGATGCAGAATGAACAAGTAAAGACTGTAAGCTGAGTCTGAGGCTCATGCAGGACATTTCATAGTGAGGTGTCTTTGGTTGGATTATTCAAACATTTACATCAAAGCACCAACTCATTTCTCACAGATGAAGGTCTTCGAGCTGTAACCAACATAATGTTCAACTGCCTGTTTCAAGTTCCCTTTATCATCACAGCAGACTCCATAGGAATCATAACTCGTACTCTGCTGTGCTGGTGCCCACAACCTGTCAGAGAAATAAAATATGATATTAAACTGGAGTAAACTTTTTTCAATCCTGATTCCTTCAAACTGACTTGTTGTAACTGAACGTCATCACAGACTGCAGATGAAGAGAGTTCAAGCACAGCTGTTCATTCAAAGGAGGATTTCTGCTTTTCTTTACATTCAGTTTGTGGGGCTGTTGGAAAATAGCTCAGCTCATGTATTGCTGATCTATCTTCCAAAACATCAATGTTTCACTTCTAAATAATAACTCTGGAATAGAAACAAACTAATGTCTCACGTTTCTGTCAGCGCTGATCCGTCCACCCATTCCCATTTATATCCTCCTGATGTCTGTTTGCCTGTCAGACCAGTCCAGGACTCTCCTCTCATGTTCAGTTCATTGATAAATTCCTTTTTGAGTAGAGATAAAAAATATTGTCTCCAGTCATAATTCAGTACTTCTGTTGTAGTGACATCATCTTGTGAACATGTCTGAAGGAAGAATAACTGTGATGAAACTTTTCTTCCATTGTGTAGAAATCAGAGCGAAATCCATCAGAGTGGAGACAGGAAGCAGGTCACAGACTGACAGCAGGTCAAAGACACAAGTAACAGATGACTGTCAGCTCCATCAAAGATCACACAGACATGAACAAACACACCCACCTGTTCCTCTTTGCTGTTTATCATCACCAGATCAGCTCCTTTATCCTGACAGGCTCTCCTGCTCTCTTGCCAGTGCTTTGCCTCAGTGGATTTAAAGTAACAGCTGCTTCCAAATCTTGTCCATCGATCGGGACACTTCTCTTAATGTCAACACATGTTTTAAATACAGTTTCTACTCAGTGCTGAAAGTTACAGCCTTTACTTGACTCACAGAGATGTTTTCATATCGTGATTCAAAGGTGTTTTACCTTCCATCTTTTCTTTGAGCTGCTTGACCTCTTCCTGTAGCTGACCCGAGTGATTAGCCAGAAGGCTGAAGTTGTTGCTCAGTTCATTGTTTCTGTTCTGCAGCTGCTCTTTGTCCAAAGTGACTAAAATATCTAGTTGAAGAGCAACGAAACTGATTTAAAACTAAATAATATCATCGACGGAAGTTTTTCATTTTCCTTTCAAATAAATGAAACAAACATTAGCTTGTTAGCTCCCTAATTATCTCAAGTGAACTAACTAGCCAGCATAATGATAACAGACCGCCACTGTCTAACATAGTGTGACTGCACCTGTAGCATTCTTCAGCAGATTCTGCTGCCTGTCTGCTTTGTTGATATAATCACAGAATCACCGTGTTGAGTGTTGTAGGAGGGGAAGAAATCAGCCCAGATGTTTGTTAATTTATAATGTGTTTTTTTTTATCAAAAATGTTTCCCCAGCGCCCATCTGCTGTTGCTTGTTCTGACACTGTCAGAGAAACTCTCTCCTGCTCGCTCTTCCTGTCCCTGTCAGCTACTCCAACCCTTTTCTTCTGTTCGAGCCATTGAAAGCTACTGAAATAGGGAAGATGTGGTTAGAATGATGGTAGCTGCAGTGTTGGCCAGCCTTCCCTGCCCCCTGAGCACACTGCACTACCCCTCCCCTGCAGCAAGGAAGACTGTGAGAGTGTGGTCCCGTTAGAAAGCAGTGTGGATGATTTTTTTGTTTTCCCTGTTCTAGCCTAACTTCATAAGGGGAATAGATGTTAAAAACAAATAAACGTTACATATGTTTCTGCACTATGTATTCAAGCCCAATAAAAGATCATATCCTACCAGAGGAAACACTGCAGGAGGAGAATAAGAACTGGACAAAAGCAGGTCTAAATTTCAAATAGTTTCATGTAGAGATGTCAAATGTAAATAATAATAATTTAAATTATAATAATAATTTTTAATACATGTTGGAATTAAATGTCCTCACAGCGTGTCGTGATTCCAGCCAGCATCAGAAGATACAGCACTCCCAGGTTTACTTCAAAAACTCTGAGCCAGCTTCTTGTTGAAGCTGGAACGTTCTTCTGGAAGTGTTCATCTATGCAGAAAATACACAAAGAGTCCACTGATGAGGCACTAAAGACACTTTGGAATTCATTTTTCTTTACATTTAGTTAATTTCCTTTGTAGGAATGTTAAATCGAGTGGATCTTGCACATCACAAATGTGTTTTTCTAATGTGGCTGGCAATGTTGAGACATGACTACATTTTAGACACATTTGTGGTCAGCAGCAAAATATATTTTGACCAACAGAAATCAGAAAACTGATATCTTTTTAGCGTGTTTCAGCTGCTGTTGGACAGGTGTGTTTGATTTCTCTTGAAATACTTCAGAAGACAATGTTTCCATGGGAACAGGATACCTAACAGTCCTGATGTAACAGTTATTAGCTTTATCATATGCACACATGAGTGATGTACAAATGTAATACTAAGGAACAACCATGAACTGTAGAAACATTAAGGGCTGATGAGTTAAATGAGTTCTATTGGTTACTCTGTTCTTTAGTACAGTTAAACTCTACAGTTTAAACTACACTTAAACACTTTTGAGTTAAAAGCTTTTTCATCTGTTTGTGTTTCTCCTAATCACATATACTGCATTTTGATAGAGCTGACTTAACAAAGAATTTGTTTAGATATCCATCTGTTCCTTGTCGGACCACAGAACAGAAATACTGATTTAAACGCTTTGCATTAACTAACAGGTTAAAAGAGCTGTGCTGCTCCTATTGGCTGCTTCTCTCTGCCACTCACAGATCTCTTCCTGAAAGCAGAGCAGCAGCTGAACCAGTTTGACTTGAAGCCACAGACACTGAAACAGTCAGACGGTTAGAAACGGAGCTCCTAACTGGGAGTAAACAGGCCCAGTGCAACAAATGATCTGTGTGCCAGTTTGGACTGGAAACATATTCTGGGCACATGTGACACGAACACTAATATGTCTTAAAGTGGTCGGATATCAGAGCTTTAAAAGACACTGAACAACACTTTCATCACCAACATTTTCTTTGGTTTGGTCACTTTGATGATTTCCTGCTTACCAGCTTCTTGTAGGCCAACGTCAGGGTGCTGCTCTCCATCATCTAACACCTCCACCTCACTCTGCTCTCTCACTCCTCCATCCTCCTGGGACCCTCTGCTGTATTTCACCCTGAAATCTTCAACACTTTGAATTTCTGTAGACATTTTGAGCTGAAAGATCTTTGAGCAGCTTCACCGTCTGTCTATGTCTTTAAGTCCGACAGTTTTGAAATGAAAATATTGAGGAAGTAAAACCAGACGAGAGTCACTTTTCATCTGACACGTCATGATACGTGTAAGAGTCAGTTATGAAGCACTGCAAACAACATCCTGCAAGACCTCCAGTTCCATTATATAAATTAAAAATGCTGAAATTCCATTAATACAGTAATTAAATCATTAAAAATGATAAATGACAGAAACTTGCAGTAGCTTAAATACATTTGTGGATTTCAGTGGGATCGGGAAACCATTTAGTGCTCATTAAAATACCTCCAACAACTTGTTTTAATATTTGCTGCTTATCATATCACAAACATACAGGTTTAACTCAGCAGCTGCAGTATGTTTGTAATAACACGGCTTTGTTAGACGCTGCCTTCTACAAACTGTAAGCACATCGAAGCAGCAGAGAGAAGAAGTGTTTGTGACACAGGAAATATGTCAGAGTGAACTATTTATTCATCTTTATTTTTACCAGCACAGAAACTAACAGGGCAGCGTGGTGCTGCAGTGGTGAGCACCATCACTTCTTAGACAGAGTTCCTGTTTTGGGTGGTTTTGAGTAGAGTCTGCTAGTGTGGGTTTCCTGCTTCCTGCTGTCCAGGTTCCTTGTAATCTGGCTGTACATGTAAACTAAAACACAGAGAATAAATCAAGCCGGCGTAAAGCCTTTCTTTAAACTGCCTGCTGAAACAGTGAAACATGCTGCCCACACATAGTCACAGAGTTTTTTTTGACTGTGCAACTATGTCTCCTCTCTTTCTAAACTTTAGTCCCCTTCTCATATATCTCATAGAATAGCAGATTTACAGGACCTATCCCACAGGCCAACAGGAGCCCTAAAAAGATGTTCAAAGGTCAGCCACAGCCAAAAACCACCATAAAGTACGAGGTGATAAGCCATCTGAAATGAAGGAATATGATCTTGAATAGATTCAGCTTCATGAAAGCTGTTTAGAGCAGGGCTCATTACCTTTAATACCTTTAATACATGTAATCTTTGACACCCACTTTAACTGGCCACGTAAGTGTTTTCCAACACATCCACACAAACACAGAGACACACTAAAGTGTGACTTTATTTATCATCTTTTTTAAAATGACTCTGCACAACAAACTGCTTGCAGTGTTTATAAAATATGTGTTCAAATATGGAAAAAGATAGAAGTCATACATGCATTATATGTTTTATGCAGTTCAAACAAGGAAAACACTAATTGGCACATCATTTTCATGATGTTATTTTATTAATGAAATAAAAAGCAGTTTTTCTGTGATCACATGCTGAGAAAGCCCTTCTTTGCTCAAAACAACAATACGTCTTTTAAACCTTTCTTTTAAGTTCAGCTGGCATGTGTTTCCCGAACACAGTGTTGCTTAGTCAACAATGTTTTCCCTGATATTTAATGAACGATCATAATATTAATGGTGAGCTGTGTTCATTGAATGAGGCACCAGAGTTGGTCCTGCAGACTTTTGACATTTCAGTTCACACAACTGTGTTATAAACAGTGGCCATTTCTGAATGTGTGTTTAACAGAACACCTGGTTTCAGTTAGCTTCATGTTTAAGCATATCTGAAAAATCTCTGCCCACAAACAGCCTCACAGGAGTAACAAAAAAAGAGAATTATGATTTATTACATCTGCAAGAGAACTGAAAGAGAACTATGAATCATGAAACTCTTAAAGACTGTAATCAGATTGGCCATGTAGCACAGTGGAACAGTGGTTAGCATGTTTGCTTCACAGCAAGAAGGAGTTCAGTTCCACCATCACAAGTCTTTCTGTGTGGAGTTTGCATGTTCTCCCTGTATTAGTGGGGGTTCTCTCTGGGTACTCTGGTTTAGTCCCACAGTCCAAAGACATGCAGTTAATGGGGTTAGATTAATTGGTGATTCGAAATTTCCCACCAGTGTGAATGTGAGTGCAAATGGTTATCTGTCTAAATGTAATAACTAACTCTACCTTTCTCAGCCTGCTTAAGCTCCAGCTGAAGGATCTTTTAGATATCAGTGCTAATGAAGATATCGACCCACAAGTCTTATGGGAGGCTACAAAATGTTTCATTCGTGGCTTTTCCATCTCATTCTCCTCCATGCTGGCAAAAACAAACTTGCTCAGGTGTCCAATTTAGAAAATCAGATAGAATCTTTACAGAATCTGCAAAAACTTATCCAGTCGGACGATCAGTCTACACTCCTAGCTTCACTGAAGGAAGAATATGATGCAATAACCTTGTCCAAATCAGAGTTCATAACTAGACAGAAGAACTATTTTGAATCAGAGCGTCCTAGTCGTTTGTTAGTACTTATGCTTAAAGAATGTGAAACAAGGGCACATATTCCAGCTATAACTAGGGATGGGTATCGTTTAGGTTTTATCCAATACCAGTACCAAACCGGTGCTGGTGCTTAAACGGTGCTCGAACCAGTGATTAAAGAATGGAGAACACAAAATTGGTCCAAAAACCTCTCATGTTCAGCTGTTTTTTTGTAAAAAGATAACAATGTTAGCCTTTACTGCAGCTATAGGGCATATATGGCATCACTCTTGGCTGGAAGCAGTGCTTAAACAATGGAAAAAACACAAACTTTGTCCAAAAACCTCTCATGTTTAACGTTTTTCCACTTTTTCTTTGGTCTTTTTAGCCTTTTTGGCCAGGGTGAAGGGAGTATCTGCCATCACACAAGAAGACAGCCGCATGTAGCTATGATGATGTTTGCTAGTTCACCTTACATGCATTAATGTAATAACGTGGTTAGCCTACTCAACATAAATTACACACGAACAACATGAAGCTACTCATGCAGAGAAGAACGGCTGCTGCTGCATCATCATCCTCATCATTTCTGCTACACTGGCAGGGCTAGGGGCCAGGACTCTCCTCTTCGTGTTTTTGGGGGATGTTGCATAACAGGCACCACACCCGCAGTAGATGCGCTTGGTGTGAGGTCTCGCAGCAAGCTATCAAATATGGTGCATTTCTCGGCTTTAAAAAAACCCCGCTACGCGTCGCCAGGTGTTTCATCAGATTCGAGGAGTTACCTCCTTTGACAGTATCACAGTATCAGCTTAAAGCACTTGTTGCTGCTGAGTTTGCATCTTTTGCTGTGAAGTACAGCCAGACTTTGACCTCTTCACCTTGGGCATTTTTAATCTGTAGCTCTGCTCTAAAAGAACGTACGTACCTGGCCCCGCCTACTATCCTTGGAAAGGTAAAATGATTGGCTAGAATCCAAAGTGTATCACAGCTCAGGGAAAAAAAGCACCGAAATGTGCGCTGCTTTTCGGTCTGGTTACTACCGTTTATGTCAAAACCGGTGCCATAATGACACTGGATGCCGGTACCCATCCCTAGCTATAACAGCTGCAAACGGTAAAAATACGACAAATCCTCAGTCCATTAATGCGACTTTCTCGTCATTTTTTGAAAATCTGTATAAATCAAATATCAATTTTAAGGATACTACCTGTAATCGCATTAACTCTAGATGAGCTGCATAGAGCGCTGAAAGACCTTAACCCTTTAAGACCTACCATAGAACCAAGTCCGCCAGAACTTATATTTATATTTTTACATGCTGTAGTACCATTTTTGGGAGCATTTCAAGTTGCTATACATCAATACAACCATTATAACCCAGATTTTAATAATATGTCTGCATTAAGTGCATAGTAATTACATAAATTGCAAAAAAGTGCAATAAATTACAAAAAAATTGAAAATCGCTTTTGTTTTTTTAACATATATTTCTAGTTAGAGAAATTTAAGAGGCTTATCCCTCAACACTTTAAATACAAAAAAGTTGCACAAAATAGTTTCCCACCACAGGAAATTTATTTTAAGTGTCTTCATAGTTTTATTTTTGAAATAGACCAATTTTTATATACTGCAGGAAAAACGAAAATAAATATTATAATGCAAATTTGCAAAAAAACAGCATATGCATCAAAATAAACTATTTCCAGCAGTGCAATATGAGTCCTAAGCATCCCAGAAACGACACAGAAAGTCATAAAGTCAAACATAACTACACCAGTATAGGCTTACAAGGCCCTGATGGTAAAAAAAACAAAAACAAACTAAATTTCCGCGAAAATGACGTCACTTCCGGTTTCGGGCAGGTCATGGTGGACATAGGATAGTTCGCGCTGATGGATGTAGGAAGTATTACGAACAGCTGATCGGATCGGCAAAGCGTGTTTCTGGAATATTATGTTTTTGTTGCTGCAAGTGCTTTTTATGCAATATTTGCAAAGCTATATGTGGAAGGAAACCGTGACCGAGGACAAGCTGATGGCATAAGATGTAAGTACAACTCCTCCGGTTTCATATGCAAAAGAATTATTGCGCTAGCTTATGTGGTTGCAGAGCTACCGGGATTTAAAAATAGTTACGCAAAACGGAGCGTGCCCGCTCTGACCGGCTCAATTAATTTTGCAATCCGGAACGGGTCTTTCCCCAGAGACCAGAAAACAGAACTTATTACCATTCTCTTTAAAAAGGGAAAAGACCCTCTTGAGTGCTCTAGTTTCAGACCAATATCTCTGCTCACAACTGATCTCAAAGTATTCGCAAAAGCTCTCACATTGCGCTTGGAAAGAGTTATCCATGTTTTAGTCCATGCAGTCAGTATTAGTACGGCGAGTAACCTTCAGTAAAAGTAATAATTCACACAGCAATAGTACATTCATGTAGTTGTAAAAAGCTTGATAATATATTAAGTAATCCAAAGTATTCAGAATGCGTTACTCTCATTGAGTAACGTAAAGGAATACGTTACAAATACATTTTGGGGCATGTAATCTGTAATCTGTAGTGGAATACTGGTCTATAAAGCTCTGAATGGTTTAGGACCAAAATACATCAGTGACCTCCTGACCCAGTATGAACCTTCCAGATCCCTCAGGTCATCTGGATCCGGTCTTTTATCAGTTCCCAGAGTCAGAACCAGACACGGAGAAGCTGCAT